TGAAGCCTTGAAAGCTGTGGGTAAACTATGGATTCTTAGAGCTGTGGGTAAAGAGTTGGGCTTTAGAATAATGGGTAAAGACTCAGCATTATAGGTTAAATACGCTAAGTTGAGGGTTCTTAGGGAAAAAAAAAACATAGAAAGGTGTTGATAGGACCATTGATTATGACAAAGAACAGTGGCTTATGTACTAATCTTAGGAACTAAATTCAAATATGGATATTGAGTAAATCCTATGGAATTGCGTAGGATTCTTAGACTTGTGGGTAGAGCCTTAGAAATGTAAATAAAGCGTGGATATTCAGATAAAGCCTGAGGTTGGTCGGTAAAGTGTCGGAGTTGCTGAGCCGTTCGTAAAAGTGAGTTTGAATTCCTGGTTATTGGGGGACAGTGTGGGCATCTGAGGTGGGTGTAGTAAAGAGGAAATCAGGAGAGGAGGCTGTGCAGAACAGGAGAAAAAAGCGGGAGGGTCTAGTGTGTCGCTTATTGGAATTTAAGAGGGAAGTGGAAAGGCGCTCCTGTTTTTTGAGAATCCTGTGAACGTTCGGGAAAAAAGCGGTTTCCAAAACATTTTTTTTTCTCGATTAGTGTTTTTTATCGTTCTTTTATTCCTTTATTTATCTAGTGATGTGTTGTTGGTTCATATTATGATGGAGGATGATTATATCCTATCTTATCCTTCACTGTATCCCGTAACATTACAGACAGCATTAACCCTGTTGCGAGTCCAAACACTCATGGCGCCACTCTTGCAGGTCTAGGCGTTGGGTTTCGAGGCGGAAAGCGACTCGCCGGAAAGGAGGAGGGGCCTCTGGGGCGCCGCCTGCTGTCCTGCCTCATGCTGGGGCTGCCGCTCGTCCTGCACCCGGTCATCTTCCTCCGCCTCCTCCTTCACCGCCTGCTGACGTCCATGCACCACCTCACCAAGTGGAAGTCGTGCACGTCGCGCTCGTCCTGGACCTCGCACTCGTCGGAGGTGTGGCGCGCGCGCTCCCGCACCTCCTCCTCGGAGACCGACGCCTCCACGCTGCGCAAGAGGCGCAGGGTCAACCTCACGCTCGACTTCGCCGAGGCCTGCCCCGAGGAGCCGCCCCTGTCGCCCGCGTCGCAGGAGGACCTCCGGCGCGCGTCGGCCATGGCGTCGCGCGCCAACAGCGAGGACGCGCAGCTCAAGCTCCACCACAGGAAGGTGTCGACGCCGGGCAGCGCGCTCTCGCAGCCCGGCTCCGGGAGGCGCCTCCGCGACACCCTGGCCGCCATCAGCACCACCGACGTCAGCGTGACGCTCCAGCAGCTGCTGCCGGCGCGCCTGCGGGCCGCCGAGTCGCACAACTCCATCAGCAGCTCGTCGAAGGGCACGACGCCCTCCAGCTCGCCCTCCATCTTCCAGAAGAGGAGCTTCCGCTTCTCGAGCTTGCACAAGAAGCGCTCCAAGTCCGTGCACGACCAGATCAACTCCTCGGGCTCGACGCCCAACATCTCGCAGTCGCGCAACGACCTGGCGTCCTGCGAGGAGGACATCGTGGCCTTCCAGAGGCAGCTGCAGAACCTCCCGTCGTACGAGCTCATGGACGCCCCGGACCTGCAGACCCCGCCCCCCTTCCGGCAGCGCTCGCGCTCCGTGCCGCGGGTCACGTTCGAGAGCATGTCGACGCTGCTGGTGCCGCGCCCCACGCCCATCGGCCGCTCGCCCACCGCCGGCGCGGACTTCAACACCGGCCTGCTGTCCACGCACCTGACGCTGCCGCCCAGCCCGCACCTGTCGCCCACCACGCACCTGTCGCCGCACCACTTCCCCGTCCCGCACCTGTCGCCGTCGCGCTCCGCCCACAACATCGCCTCGTCCACGCCCCTCCACTCCCCGGGCGTGGCGTCGCCGCACAACCTGGCGTCGCCCGTGTCCTCGCACGTGTCGCAGGGCTCGCCGCGCCCCTCCTCGCCCTTCCTGTCGCCCGGCTCGCCCTACTCGCCCCACTCGCTGTCCTCGCCGCGCCTCCGCTCGCCCGCGCTCTCGCCCATCACGCCCCCGCGCTTCCCCCCCACGCTGGCGGGCAACGCCGACGACGCCCCGCTCTCCGCCCTGCCCTCCAGCCTGCAGGCGGGCGGGGAGGACCTGCGGGGCGTGGCCTCGTCCCGCTCCAGCTCCGTCACGCCCACGAGGTACCGCCGCTTCGACTCCCCCGTGTACATCGTCGTCGACATTCCAGCCGTGCACAGGGCGGTGCTCCAGTGCGTCGAGGTGCGGGCGGCGACTGATCCTCGTTCACTAAACATACTTGTATATAAAGTAGATAGATATTCTGCAATAATAAAACACAGTTAATGATTCTACAACATATAGCCAATAAAAAAAATAGTTAATGATTCTACAGTATATGGCCTATAAATTATAAAAAAAAATCAAAATTCAAAAAAGGATATTCAAATGGGGCCTCTTTCACGCCCCTCCTCACAGCCTAACAGACCTAGCCCTACCTATCCCCCCCCCCCCCCCAGTCCCTTGCTCGGTGTTGCCTTGGCCCTCAAATAAATGAAATAACCTTACATGACCTTACCTAACATATCCTATCCTATCCTAATCTAATCCCAACCCCAACCCAAACCAACCCTCAACCCAACCCCAAACCAACTCAAACCCAACCCAACCTAACTCAAACCCAACCCAACCCAAACCTAATTCAACCCAACGCAGCTGAACCCAATCAAACCTAAACCCCAACCCCAAACCCAGCTCAACCCAAACCCAACCCAAGCTAAACCCAACCCAAAAGCCAAACCCAAACCCCAAACCAAACACAACCCAAACCCAAAAGCCAAGCCCAAACCTAAACCCAAAAGCCAAACCCAAACCCAACCTCAAATCTAACCCAACCTAAACCCAACCCAAACCCAACCAAAGCTAAACCCAAACCTAACCCAACCCCAAACCCAACCCAACCCAACCCCAAATCCAATCCAACCCAATTCAACCCAACCCCAAACCCAACCCAAACCCTAACCCAACCCAAACCACAACCCCAAACCCCAAACCCAACCTAATTCAACCCAAACCCCAAACCCAACCCAATTCAACCCAAACCCCAAACCCAACCCAAACCCAAACCCAAACCACAACCCCACACAAACCCCAAACCCAACCCAAACCCCAACCCAAACCACAACCCCACACAAACCCCAAACCTAATCCAACGACACCTCTCTTTCCCCCCCAGGAGTGGCTTCAGTCGGGCGGCGTGCAGGTGGAAGGCAACCCCACAGTGGCCCGCGAACTGAGCGAATTCCTCACGCGTGTGGCCCAGTGCGGCGCCCCCTACCAGCAGTGGTGTGATGATCTGCGCTCCCACTGGAACATCACGGTGAGTGGGGGGGAGGAGGGAGGAGGGAGGAGGGCAGGGGGACGAAGGGGGTGGAGGGTGGAAGATAGGAAAGGATGGAAGGGAATGGAAGAGAATGAAATTGTATTTCTTTTCCTTCCTTGAGCGTTTCGTGGATGTGAAAGAGAGAGAGACAGATAGACAGAAACAGACAGACAGAGAGGGAGGGGGATTAGTTAGTGCGCTTAGCAGACTACGCGTACATTATTTAAAAACACACCTAATGTAGAATACCATGGAATATTTTCCTGACTTATAGGCCTAGCTGCTGGACTATTAATAGAAAATATGATATGTAAAGATTTAAAAAAATGACTTATAAATACCAGCATAAATAAAAGCCACAGGAAACGTGTTTAAGCGCAAAATTCAAACTTTAAAGAGCTCGTGTGGGTCAGTGTTTACCATTAGAGCGCCACAGACCGTTCCGTTCGAGCGTAGTTTTTGTAGCAGAAGTATTATTTATTACTTATTAGAAGTATTACTTATTAGAAGGATTACATATTAGGAGGATTACTTATTAGAAGGATTACTTATTGGAAGGATTACTTATTTTAAGTATTATTTATTAAAAGTATTATTTATTAGAAGTATTACTTATGAGAAGATTACTTATTAGAAGGATTACTTAACTTGTTATTTATTCATCATTTTTTTGGAACAACAAAGAACTGTTTAAACTATCGTAAACTATTTTCCAAGTATTTATTCACCACTTTTTTTTTTAACATTAATTAAAATATATATCGTTATTTTACGTCGATAAACTGGAATTCGTACGACCGACGCCACACCCAGAAGAAACGCAATATTGGTCCATTAAATATATTTCGTCAACATTAATTGCCTAATGACCTCATGAAATATCACTGTGGCACTGATGCTCATTAAAGCAATTAATTGGACTCCGGACTTTTATCCCGACTCGTAAATTGTCATTACGGAGAAGAATTTAAGTGGTAGATGCTCATTTTTTGGGAAGACGGGAGGGTCGGGAGAGGATTTTTTTGTTTGTTTGCTTTCTTTTCATGGGAAGATGTACATATGTATATGTATATATACGTATATATATATATATATATATATATATATATATATATATATATATATATATATATATATATATATATACATATATATATATATATATATATGTATATATATATATATATATATATATATATATATATATATATATATATATATATATATATGTATATATATATATATATATATATATATATATATATATATATATATATATATGTATATATATATATATATATATGTATATATATATATATATATATATATATATATATATATATATATATATATATATATATATATATATATATATGTGTACATATATGTGTGTGTGTGTGTGTGTGTGTGTGTGTGTGTGTGTGTGTGTGTGTGTGTGTGTGTGTGTGTGTGTGTGTGTGTGTGTGTGCGTATCTGTCTATCTATCTATCTCTATATATACATAAATTTATAAATGAATAAATAAATAAATAGAGATAGATAAGTAGAAAAGGGGGAGTGAAAGAGAGAGACAAACAGACAGACAAATAGATAGACAGATAGATAGATAGACAGATAAGCAGACAAATAGATAGACAGACA